GGCCTGGCCTCGCCACGGCGGTGCTGGGTGAGCACCGTTGTGCCGCAATCCCTTCAGGATTGGTTATTCACTGGGAGAACAGGACGTTCGCAGTTCGAGAGCCCTCCAGAGGCGTTGTAAAAACGTCTTTGAGGCAAAATTGTAAGATTAGAGAAACTAACGTCTATCTTTCATACCCTTCAAGGCTGGCAATTTCCAACCTCAAACATTTTGTGAGGCCCACTTACTATTAATACTCTGCTATACACCAGCGTGAAGGAAGGATTTAGAGTCTTATCTCTAAATGATAACTCAGTACATTACAAAATACAGCACATAGCAAAGTGCCTTTAGCCCAGCACGATTCACATCCCCCTCAACAGTGAATTGAACCTAAAACAAAAACTAATTCATGGTTTACTTACCTATGTAAGTAACACATTAAAACCAGCATTTGTTGAAATGCCCTTAGTACAGTTTATGCTGCTCGATATCCAGGGAGTACATGGGAAGTATTAGGGTTGTACAGGAGAGGCTGCTGTAACAAGTTGCAGGGAAAAAAAAAAAAGTACATCTTGAAAAACAAACCTCATGATGAGCCTGATTTTAGATCTTACTGATTTTTTCTTAAGAGATGGCAGTTTCTGTAGCTCCCACAAACACCCTAGACAAGAACTGATCCTATCCACAAGTCTGGAGGATCCTAAAGGCAAGAACAGTATGTCATTGTCTTTTATATTGAATAAATGTGAGTCACAACTATTAAGTTACTTGGAATCAACACAAATTCAAAGCAATTATTTAAGGGAGGCCATCTATTCTAAAAACATAGGGCCAGTAGTTTAATACAACACCACATTATTTATAATCCACAGAATGTGTAGACTCTCAAAACTATGAAGAATAAGGTGCAGAATACAAAACACATTTGTATAATTATGCTGCTGGTAACTGTAGTCAGAAATACTTCTTATGCATTTCTGAATCTTTCCAAGTTGCCTCTGTATACTATGCAATTATGATATAGTTCAAGGGCAATGAGAAAAAAAAAAGTTGTTGTAATAATATAACATCCTTTAGGTCATTTTAATGCGTTTCTGTGCACTTGAACAACCATCAGCATCCAAGTGCTGTCCTCCTTTTACTTCTGTATTCTGAATACCAGCACCATCCATGCAGCTGTACTGAAAGGCCTGTCATTATTTCCATTATAAACTGATATTTTCAAGGATCTATAACTCAAACACAGAATAGCACTTCAGTTCATTTTTCTTGAATTTAAAAGAACCACTTGGATCAGCAATCTAGAAACTCTACCACTCTCTAATTACATTTTGACACAACAGAGGTTAACAGCTCTGCAGTGGCCGTTCCGGTCTATTGTGTCTACAGTCTCTACAGTAACCAATACTGTCTGCTGCATCTCCCATCTTTAACTTCACTCAGGCTTTTACCCACTCCTCTGAAGGGGCCATTCCTTTCTAACAAGTCAAGAGTCTGCATTTATACCCTGAAAATGAGAAAACACCTTTTTCCTTGTTACACCATAATTATATTTTGTGGGGGTAAACAAATTCAACTTGAATTATTATCTATTAGGGGTATTTTCTAGTAGAGAATTTCACAGATTCCCATTCTCTTGTGCTAAAAAAGATTACATAAAAAACAAAGCTGCAGATAAATTGCCGATAAGAATCTACCAGTGCATGAAGGTGAATACATAGACAAGTAAAATCCTAAGTCAGCAGACTAAATTCTACTCTTGGCTGCACTAGGGAACCAGAGGAGAATGAGGCCTGATCTGCATTTTTCCCTGTGTAAAAGCAGCTCAACTATTTTTGACATAAGTAAAATACTGAATTATTTGTTCAGATTCTCACTCATAAATCTAAATAGTGTCTTTTACACATTTAAGATGCATAACACTTGGCAGATGCAACTGACTTTTTATAAAAGATCCATCACCATGTAACAAAACATCTTCGACCTCGAGGTTAACTCCAAGTCTTCAGTTTCATTACTTTCCTGTGTTTTAAGAAGTCCCTTTGGATGCCTGCAGAGACAGATTAAGCAGCCGTTATCGTGCATATTTGCATCTCCATCTTCCTGTCATACTATAGCCCCTTGATGCCAAGGGAAGGTTTGCCATTGATTTAAATGGGTTTGGAATCAGGCCCAGAATAGATAAATACATTAAGCAATAATGGAGCAATTTATTTGCAGATTTTGACCTGTCCACAAAACTCAGAGTTGATGAGGACTATTGCAGCATGGGATCAATTCAGGTAATAGAAAGGGGGAGGGAAGGGAAGCCCCAAGTTTACTCGTACATGCTCCTAACAGTCCCATTTATGATATTCCTTCCATCCAGAACACGACTCCCGTTAGTCTACTGGAAAACTCAGCCTTTTTGTTGTGACTTATTTTGACAGCTTTAATACCCTCTTCCACCTGGCATCTGGAAGGTTTTCCTTCACCACTTTCCTCCAAAGTCTCACTGTTGTTTCCAGGTGTGCGCTGTGTTCACACTGCACTCATCACAGTGGTATCTGTGTGACTTACCTCTGGTCTAAGAACATACTTCTCCTTTTACACTAGGGACCATTGCTGCCTTCATCAGCTGTTCTGCAGAGAGATAGTGCCCAGCTTAATTCTACAGCAGTAAATAATCTTCTCCACTCCATCCCCTATTTCACAGAACCAAGTATAGCATTATAATCCAACGGATATCGCTCCTTCAAGATTGTTCATTATGAAGCTGTAGTCACTAAGTGGTTGAAATCTTTCCTCTGCACTTTCTGGTGTTAACTGTTAACTGGCTGTTCCTTTAGCACTTGCCTTTGACACTGATGGAACATTTCTTCAGAGACCACAGAAACCTTAATTAAAAAATGAAAGCATGTCAGCTAATGAGCAAGAGAAAAAAAATGGATTATATTCTTTTGTATGCCGATCTAGGAAACAGAAAGTTGCAGATTCAGAATTAACTTGATTCTCAGGAGAAATTATATATTCTGAATTTCAGAACAGATACTGATCATTTGGAAAGAATGCTATTATTAAAGTATTCTTTTTTTTCCCCCAGACATGCCCTGAGATGGGAGTTGCAGTTTATTTCAGAAGTCATTTAGCATTTAGATATGACCTGGATTCACACAAAAAAGTGTGAGGCTCTGTTCCCATCTCTGCTTAAGCTTTTAAGTCTCGTCTGTACTTCTAAAGCACTGTCCTGTACTGTTAATGATTATAATTATATAACACAACAAAAAACAGGGCATGGTAATAGAGAGACGTGGCATTATATAAAGGGGGAAGTATTTAAAATAAACTTGTTGTGAAAGTACCAAGGCAGATTGCTCAGACATAAGTCATAGAAGTGGTCTAAAAAACATTAACTACAATTGCAATTTATCTATTACCCATTTCATCTAAGATCAAAACATATATAGAAACAGTTCCACAGTCCAGTAACGCATAATTTGCTGCTTGGGGCAGACAACAGACTTGAGCTCCTGGGTCTGCATGGAAGGAGGGTGTTTACCCGCGACGCGCACCGCTTCTTCCATCCCAAAAGACAACAACAGAGCTGCACAGATAGCTGCACCCCAGTGACTCCACCGTTTTTACAGAATACTCTTTAATCCAAGAGATAGCAAAGAAAGTTTTGAACACAACTCCCTTTAGTTAGTCAGTAAAGGTTTTTGCTGCTGTTGGTGCAAGGGTCAGAGAGTTACAAGTGTAAAAGGCAGAAAGTTTTCCTCTTGTTTTGACTAAACTGGAGGAAACGTGCTAGAGCTCTGCAGAATTTGATTGCCAAACACGAAGTGAAGATACACAGTGAGAAAAGATAGTAAAGGTTTAACCCAACTGATGTAAGAAACAAAATTCAAGGATGCCCATGTTTCCTTGCTTTTATTGCATTGTTAATCTTTAATCAGAAAAACAGTTCTGAGAACAGTTCTTTGTGCACAGCTAAACAGGCAGCAGTGCCTGGAAGTTAATATGATCACCAAAGAACAAGACTATTAAATCATTGTGCTAATAAATCAATGAGTGAGATGTACCAGGACAGAACCCCAAAGAGTTCAAATTCTGCTTCCACGTGGAGATGTAGTGTACACATTAAACCTTGCAAAATCAGCACTAAGAAGTTGGCTGGTGGGTTCAGAAGAGCAATGGTTTCCATGCAAGCTTTTTCCAGCTTAGATCACCAATCTGCACAAGTGCTAAAATTTCTGGGACATCGGAATAGAGTTTCTTGATGTTAAAAACCAAAGAAATCTAGAATGGGCTACAACGCATTTAAGGAGATATTTAAAGGAGTATATATGAGTGTGACTTCACTGACAGCTGGTGATTTGCACATTGATGTTTAACAGCAGAGAGATCGTAAAACTTAGAAACTTCCTCCTGCTGTGTTCTCATAAGACAGAACATGTATAACTATGTCTCCTACACAGTATTTCTGTGCTCCTGTAAGAATAAGCAAAATCAGCTTTATTTCCTTTCTCTCTTTATAATCTTCCAAAACACCAAGATGAGGCAGTGCATAGAAAGCAAATAAAAACAGCTAGAGTGGCTGGTATGTTCTGAGTAATGGTTATTCCTCTATTCAGAGTGATCTCACTCAACTTAGTCTCATACACTGTCATTCATACCCTTCTTTTGTACCATCTCCCGAGCAGAGAACACAGTATGTTTTCATCCAATAAAATGAGTCACTGCCTTAGTACCACTGCAATGCAAATCTGTAAACTGCTCAAGTGGGTTACCCTTTTT